GAGAAATTGTTTGATAGGTGAAAGTTCCCACAAGAGTGTTAACAGAGCCTTCAAAACACAAAAGCACTTCCTAATCAAAGATAATCTAAGCCATCAACTGATTTCCCCTGACGTAGTTTTTTAGAACAAGAAACAAGGTTCTCCATTGTTGAAGTCATACTCATTACTTGTTTTAATCCAATTTTTGCTCACTTTAACTTTTCTTCTTAGACATCTATTTGATATTTACTCATGTTCTGCATTGATTGCCTCATAAACTTGATTGCAGTAAAGTAGCTGGTAATTTTCAAACTAAGGCACAATGCTTTTTTTCCTAAGACCTTCAGGAAGAAAGTCCAAAAAGGGCCTGCAACCATACTGCTTATTTCTGTTGTAAATCTAAGAATAGTCGGCCGTAAACTGGGGGAAGAAAATAGACTACGCTAGTGCGTCGTGTAGCTCCTGGCTTTTAGATTCGAACTGCTGTGGGAACTCACAGCCTGTAAGGTATTGTAGACAGGGGAATTTCATATACAATAGTGAGGATTTCTTCATGTGCGAATGTAAGGTAATGAGGGAGATGAGTTTTGAGAAAGGATTCATAGATCTCTGAGGTAAACAAGGGGTACTGTCTTCAATTTTTTTACGGGCGTCTTGTCTGCTTCCTTACTGGCTATTTCCTAGTGGTGCGTCATCTTAAAATACAGTGGAAAACTGTTAAAATAAAAGTAGGCGAGGAAGTCGTTACTTACTACTGTTCTTCGCATTGTCAGTTTTAGAAGTGATTCGGAAGTTTGAGACTATACTACGTATTTTGGCGCCAAATCAGTCTTATTAAAATATCAAGACATTAAGTGACCCTTTTTGTGAAGACTCGTTGGATGCCAAAACTGACTAATGCCCCAAGGCACAGTGCAAGAGAACGAGAAACAGTTTTTTTAGAAAGTTCCTATTCTGACTCCACTCAAAGCCCAGAACTGATTCCTATTAAAAGGCTGTGGAACACAAGGAAATAAACGATTACCTAGAGAAAGTGGAACCGGCTTATAATGAATATTTGAAAGCACAGTAAAAGACACTTAAAAAAGAATATATTGGACTGCAGCAACCATACAAATGATTCAATGCATGGTGGGTCCGCTACGGTCATTAGAGGGGCTGGCTATGCCACAAAGTACTAATCTCTCATCAACCGCAGTTTCTCCTTTCTACTTCTGTAAGTCTAGAAAGCTAAAAACTCATCTCCTCATCAAAGAGTAAGCAAGACTTTACGATTCTGCAAAGTAATAACTTAAAATATATGCTGTAACACAGACAGAAACTTCAGTAAACATTTAATTCACAATTAGGTAGAAAAGCATACGTCAAACAAACTGAGATCTTCAACTCACAGAGTTACAACTTGAACAGTTTAAAAATCATAAAGCGAAATGTGAGATTCAGTATTATTAAGAAACCATAAATTAATATGCGGCAAATAAATAACTTTCAACTTTCAGTCATTAAATTAAAAGTAATTTATAAATACAACAAATATGGTAAGAAAATAATGATCAGGCGCACTGGAAAATGTAGTTTCGAAAGACGAGCTGTGAAAAAGAAAAAAACGTTCTAAAGAATCTAGCCGTAGGATCGACTTAGAACCCTTACTGTTCACCATATTTACATCAAGGAAATATAGGGTTTCGTCGGGCACATACGCTAGAAATATTGATCTTTGTCCGTATATTTGAAAAGAAAAACAAGAGGATTTGAGAAGCAATACTGTACAGTGGCATTCTGAAAAAATCGCACCCTAATTTTTACATGCTTGTGAGTTCCAACACTACTAAAGTAGAAAGGCAAATAACAACCAAACTTCACTTACCCGCAAAAAAACACTAGTGAAGATTACAGGCAGAAAATGGTTTTAAGAAAAGGTGTTAACTATACAAAATCTACATCAAAACGTTTTTGTAAAGAGTGATTGAAGCAGTAATAAACAAAATTACCAACATAAGCAAAAATGCTTAACAAAAACGACCATGTTAAATCTGTGAACTAGCCACCGTAGTTAAGACCCTTTCAACAAGACTGTTCAATCAATGAAGATGTTGGATGTACACTTTTGAATCCGCAACAAGGAGTTCTTGAACTATTCAACAAACATGAGGAATCAAACTAACAAATACTCAGTTAGCAAAAGTACTTTCATGCCCGGTTAAGAGGCATAAGTCGCAAATGACTACTGGAGAGGTAGCGCATCGCTTCATCAAGACTACAAGCCTGAAAGATGGAAAGGTTTCACTCAAAAAGTGTTCAAGAGACTTAAATCCCTTTGAGAGCCTGACGAAAGTAATAAAGAAGTTTCAAAAGGAAATAACACAGCACGACTTACTTATCACTTCCAACCACCTGATAAATATTATTTGGATCGTACAGATCTTGGGTAACAGTGTCATCAACGAAAGCTCGTCCCTAAAACAAACTTCAGATGTATCAGAAACTAAAATCACACTTTTATCAGCATCTATCAAATATGGCTAAAAAAGAGTACTAAAAAAAACGACCTGAACTCCATGAGAATGGAACGCAAGGATCGAGTCAGAAAGAGAGACGAGATGTTTTACTTGGAAGTTAAATTTGAACAAGGCGGGAGAAAGCCTTGAAAACTTCACAAAACCTTCCTGATTAACAACAACGCAACGGTTTTCATAACACAGCATCAAGGCATCCTGGAAAATGTCTAACAG